TCATGGATGATCTGGTCAATTTCGTAGATGCTAGTCTGAAAGAACTCGGAGTCACTTCGCATCATCTCATGATGGAAGGCATTGGCACTGATTTCGCATATCCGTATGGGTGTGAAACTAGGTTCAGTTTCACTAGTAGTGGGGGAGAAACCTCTTGGTTTCAGGTAGGACTCGGTGGCATATCAGTGATCTCTTCATAGCCTGAAGTTATCACTTTCATGTTCATCGAGCGTCCGCCTGCGTGGTGTCTGTCTTCGCGGTGGATTGCAGCATCCCTGCGATTCGCATCCGGTTGGTATGTGGGATGTTGAATGGACGTTTCTCGCGTGTAGTAGGGCAAGGTGATCTCCTGCTCCAGCTAGGAGTCGGCGGGTACTCCTTTGGCCATACTAACCAGCTCTTTGCAGAGTCGAGTAGTATTCGGAAGCGGCTGAAAAGCTTCTTCCCAATTATCACATCTTGTGCTCCGAGGCCCAGGAGTACAAAGGGGCAGTTATATATCCGACGTCCTTCGACTGTTAAGTGTAACCGAATATACTCTGATACGTGGCCTTGGATTTTGCGCTGAAATCCACGTATGGGTACAGAGTAGGGTAGTTTCCGTATGGGGCTCTGAAGCGCTTTTGACATTCGTATTGCGAAAGGCTTGTTAATGAAGAGGTAGCCATTTGCTCCTGTGTCTGCTAGGGACTTTGTTTGCACCCCGAGTCCATTCATACTCAGGGTCGTGTCGACTAAGAACTGGGTACCTCCCAGGAGTTCTCGTAAGTCTAGTCCTCACAGGTCACATTTGCATAGACCTAGGAAGGAGCCTTCTCCTAGGGCTCATCGTTTTCCTCGGGGGACGCATCCGATTAAAGTTCCATGGCTTCCTCCCATTGTTCTTCTGCCTCAGGGTTGTTACGGTCGATTTCGTTGATAGTAGCATTAAGGGGGCATTTGTCCTGGAAATGGCTGGGCTTGCCACACTTGAAACAGTTCCCTGAGGATGCTGGGACTGCGGTCTTCACACGCTCCGGCATCGTTGGCTTGGGGAGGAACGTGGTTCGGGTGAACAGAGCGGGTGTGGCTCGAGTCGGCTTCGATGCTGACGCCTTTGCCGTATCCATGGTACGTGTGGACGTCCTTGCGAGAGCGGGTAGCGGATTCAATTCGTTGTTCTGGTGCTGTTCCTGATCTAAGGCAGTAAGTTCTCGTACCATGGTCTGGTAGTCTCCATTCCATTGGTTTTTAATGATCGCGACGCGGCTGCGGAATTGGGGAGTCAACTTGTTCCACATGTACCGAAACCATTCCGACTCGGAGACTTGTCCTATGATAGCTGCACTTTGGAAATGAACCTTGAACTCTGGGAACGTTTCCCTAACATGCCCCTTCTCTCCCATTTGCAGGTCGTCGAAGAGGTTCCTGGCCTGTTCCGTCTCGTTGCCTGTGAGGTAGTATGAACCTAGTAGGTCCATCATCTTGTCAGCACTGTGGAACCCATGCGTAGTGGACAGGTATTGGGGCTCTAGGTAGGTCTTAGCCAGGCCGGTTGTAGTTCCCCATATCAACGCTCTTCTTGAGACGTCGGTAAGGTAGTGGTCCTCATTGACTACGAGTCAGTCCTGAATTGAAGCGAGATCTCTGGAATCACGGCTATTTGAAGTCGTCAGGTCTCTCCTCCGAAATGTCACCGAGTCGCGGTCGATGTCGTAATGGTAGTTCTCCTGAGTCGTTCCGGTGTGGGATATTATTGAAGTACGGCCGTCCCCGGCAGGCGTGATCTTTTTTGTATAATGTAAGGACACAGGGCACCCAGCTCACAGTAATAGTGCAAGTCGGAGGCTAAACGGATGCTATCCTATAGGTCTACTACGAAGGATACAAAAAAGATGATGAGGAACCCCGTTGGGTCAATCCCCTTAGGTACCCGAAACGGGTCCGACTCGGCTAACCTGCCCTAACTCTCCCCACGTGACCGTAACCTGCCCAACTCCAATCCTTTCTGTCACTGAGGGTGGAGGCATCCTTACATGAAGCTTTAAAGCCATATTGATCATTTGATAAGTTGAGCTCCAGCAGACTAGCATATCAAGTGTCAACTGACAGACTTTAATACCTGCAGCTTTACACTGATTCTTCAAGGCATCTTTCCATCCACAGCGGTTCCGAAATACATATATATGATGCCGGAGCTTGGCAAGAACAGTCACGATTTCGTTTTCAATAGTAGTTGGTATTCATGCAGCCCCAACCTCAAGCCGGTATGCCTCTACCCTTTCATCAGGCATTGCCTTTAAGTAAGCTAAAGTAGCTTGAACAGCAATGTTGATAATATGCCCAATACAGCGTATGTCTCCTGCTTTCGCTGTAAAAGCCCATGGTTGTTTCAGGGTAATAGGTTGCGCCGATGCCAGTTTCTCATATTCTAATAGCATAGTTGTATTCGTAGACGCATTATCTCTTGTAATTGTAAAGATCGCAGGCGTAATACTATAATCGTCCGTTGCATGTATCATCTGTTGCAAGGTATTCGCCAGAGTGGATTGTTGTATAATGTCAAGTATAGTATTTCTCATTTGTGTCATACTGACACTCGTTGCACTCAGTTTGCTATCAAACTCAAGAGCAAACTTAGAAATCTCCTCCTCAAACCTACAAGTCACTATACATATTTTGGCTTGTCACACCAACAACAAGAGCAATACTACTCAACGATTGCTACAACCCTCTATAATTTATTATGTCATTGCTCCTTAGTTACTGGGCTGATATGACCACATAGCATATCTCTACAACCCTCTATGATTCATTACATGACATCATTCCTTAGTTACTGGGCTAATACTACACATGACATATCTCTATCAACTAGAGGCCTAGGAACATGAACGATAGCTCTAGAAGCTTCTACAACCCTCTATGATTCATTACACGTCATCGCTCCTTAGTTACCTACAAGATTGGTTAAGTTATGACATAATCTGTCTATAGGGGTACTCTAACCTTGGACCTCCTTTCACTTCCTATAGGCTAGGAACCTAGGAGATGGTTCTATGGGATTCTCTTACGTCGACTACAGTTACCAAGCCTGGTTAGTCATGGAATGTCTTGGAAAATGAGAGAACTACACTCCTTTAGCATAAATAGGATTGCCCTTTCCTTAAGAAAGGGCAAGCAGACAATACAGTAAATCGACTATCACATACTTCCACATCTTTTCCAAGCTTCCAAGCATTGATCTTGTTACTCCTTGTTTCTGAAAAGTCTGTGAGGTGCTAACCTCTGACTTATCCCTGAGTTCTCAGACTCAACATTTGTTGCAACTTGTCTAAACCACTCCACTACATCATACACCTGATTGCTGCATTGTGGAATAGTCTAAGCTACGACCCTTTGGCTCTTTTTCCTAAGACAGTGTGTTGTCTTAGTAAAATCATCCCTTCCTTGGGTGGCTAGATTCTCACATCTGGTGCACCCACCATTACACTATCATCACTCTGGGGAACTCAGTAAGGAATGATTTAGGCATTCCGCAGCACCGTTCTGGTGTGATGTGTACGCCATCGTAAACTCAAATAGAATGCTGTAGGTAGGCGTATACAGGGTCTGTAACCTCCTGTATTCCTTTGTGTTGTCATATTGGACTACCTTTATCTTCAGGCCAGTCTCTATCTCGATCATCACCTTGAATTCGGTGAAGATCTTCCTGAACTGGTCTTTAGTCGTTGCTAGGTAAACCCACGATTTCCTTGAGGCATCATCAGTGAAGGTGATAAAATACACCTCTCCATCGATGTTCGGCCTCCTATATGGGACCCATATATCAGTATGGATGCGGCCGAGGACTTCCTTTGCATGCTCAGGGGCTTGTCGATTGATCACCCTGGTGCTCTTGTTGAGCAAGCATGCTTCGCATGGGTCTTCGATCCCCTTAATGGCGCCAGCCATCCCATGGACAGCAATGTGGACAAGCCTCAAGCTCTTCGAGCTTGAGTGTCCAAAACGTTGATGCCAAAGCATCGCATCCTTCGATGACAATGCTAGTGTCTTGTCCTGCTTTCTTGGTGGGTTGACCACCGTACAGAAAGCTGTTTCCTGTGTGCCGTCAAGTACGTATGACTTGTCAACACACACAGCAACGCCAGCAACTTGGCCATCGAGCTCAAGAAGTAACTTGCCTCCATTGGTCGTCCTTGTCATGATGCCCCTATCCTGGAGATGGGACACCGAGATGAGGTTTCCGGCGAGGTGTGGGACATGAAGCACATCGTGCATCAATATCCTGAGTTTCTCACCCTTCACAAGGGTGTTGAAAGCAACGGTCCCTTCGCCAATGGCCTCGATTGATGCACTGTTTGCGATATTAACCGGTATTGACATGCTCAGCAGCTTATAACTGACAAAAGCATCCCGGTCGTATGTCATATGGCAAGAGCACCTAGAATCCACGATCCATGAGTGCCCCTGAGAGCCGCCACCCTCAAGCCAATTGCTTTTTTCTTCGGCGGCGATGGCGATCCAAGCTGTGGTTGATGCCGCCGCCATTCTTGCTTCTTCAGGGGGTGGTGATAAACCTCTCCCACCAGGAGCGGGAAGTGGTCCGGTTGAGGGGTTCCTTTTAGGTTCACCGTTTCTTCTTGACCGGCAGTCACTTCGATAGTGACCCTTCTTACCGCAATGATAACAGGTGATGTCCTCAAGCAGTGGTGCTTGACCACCTCCTCCTTGACGTCCTCCTCGTCTGTGGCCACGGCTTGCACCATGGCCGCCTCTCCCACTGCCTCTTCCTCTTCCACCACCGGTATTCGCATTGGTGTTGGTTTGGAGGGCGTTCTCGTTCAGCTTCTTGCCTCCGTCGAGAAACTGATCAGAATCAGCGAAGGCTTTCGTCACCACTGCGTAAGTTGGTGATTCCATAACGCTAATTGTAGCAGCTGTTTGATCGTATCGAGAGCCGCGGGCTCTTATAATCGATATGAGCTTTGTCGTCTTATTCTGATCAGTCGGGCGCTCCGTTATATCATGCTCCGCAAGCTCTTTCTGAAGCCGACTGAGCTCAAGTGATACTTTATAAACCGAGACTGAGGAGAGTAGTGGCTGTAGGCAATGCGGTCCATCAACTGTTGTCGCCCAATAGGGGCATATATCCTCTTGAGGGTATCCCACATCTCCTTCACCGTTCCAAGCTCTGCGATATTCGAGAGCGGTTCAGGAGTGCAGAAACCGGTGATGGTCTCTATCGCCCCTTCCTCACGCTTCGTTACTCTCTGGTCTCTTTTTCTGTCGATCTTCCTCTTGGCCGCCTTCCCTTCGGGGGTCTCTTTGGCGGCGTCAGTCCGGTTCTCAAAATCCTCCTCGTCAGTATTAGCGTTCGACTCATATCCAGAGTCAACCGCCCCATATAAGTCCCGACGCTTGAGGTAGTTCATTACTTGGATACTCCATATCCTTCCCGTCACTCTGGTCAGACGGGGCTTGTCACCGCCAAGATCTCGATCCATGCTTTGGACGAGTCCTCACTTTGGTGCCTGGTCAGGTCACTGTTGCCCATTGATCAGCTTTCCTGGCGGTAGGACTGAGCTTCGAAAGCAGCTTAGTATTCTCACTATATGGATGTGAGAACTCGGAATCAATCGTTCAAAATGTGATATCGACGGCAGGCACGACCGGGCTCATAACCTGTTGGAGTGTATTACAGTGACCGGGGATCACACCCAAATTGTAAGGGTTCTCTGGTACCCGAAATGCTCACTTCTGGGCAGCGCCAGCGAGTATCACAATCAAGGGCAGTATGTAGAGTAAATTGATCAAATTGAATTAATTACGCTATCTAATGGGCCTACGTATATATTTGTAGGCTTCGTGGGCAAGCCCAAGACCCTAACAAGAAGGGTGTAATGGTGGGTGCACCAGATATGAGAATCTAGCCACCCAAGGAAGGGATGAATTTACTAAGACAACACACTGTCTTAGGAAACAGAGCCAAAGGGTTGTAGCTTAGACTATTCCACAACGCAGCAATCAGGTGTATGATGTGGTGAAGTGGTTTAGACAAGTTGCAACAAATGTTGAGTCTGAGAACTCAGGGGTAAGTCAGAGGTTAGCACCTCACTGACTTTTCAAAAACAGAGAATAACAAGATCAATGCTTGGAAGCTTGGAAAAGACGTAGAAGTATGTGCTAGTCGATTTACTGTATTGTCTGCTTGCCCTTTCTTAAGGAAAGGGCAATCCTATTTATGCCAAAGGAGTGTAGTTCTCTCATTTTCCATGACTTTCCATGACTAACCAGGCTTGGTAAATGTATTAGAAATCAAGTGCGACCCACAACTAGCTTGCTAATCATGTAGTGAACGTAAGAGAATCCCATAGAACCATCTCTTGGGTTCCTAGCCTATAGGAAGTGAAAAGGAGGTCCAAGGTCAGAGTACCTATAGACAAATTATGTCATAACTTAACCAATCTTGTGGGTAACTAAGGAGCGATGATGTGTAATGAATCATAGAGGGTTGTAGAAGCTTCTAGAGCTATCGTTCATGTTCCTAGGCCTCTAGTTGGTAGAGATATGCCATGTGGTAGTATTGGCCCACCCCCTTAAGGAGGAGATTTTCTTAATAACTTGTTCAATGAGTGTCCAAATGATATGCCGTGATGTATGTAGCATAAACAGATGTAGTAGAAGAGTTTGCAGCAATCGTTGAGTAGTATTGCTTCTGTTGTTGGTGTGATAAGCCAAGATATGTATGGTGACTTGTAGGTTTGAGGAGGAGATTTCTAAGTTTGCTCTTGAGTTTGATAGCAAACTGAGTGCAACGAATGTCAGTATGACAAAGGGCATTGGCGTCCAATATGTGATAGGATTCGGTGGCTGCATACGGTTATGCACCACCTGAGCCAATCCGGGAACCAGGCGGTCAGAATGGTGGAAAACTGATTTCCAGGGCCAAATGGCCACCGTAGCCCATAGCCCACGTTCTATTCCCAACAGGGACTCACCGAGTACTACGGAGGTGTTGTTCATAAGTTTTGTGAGTGGGTTGGGCTAGGGCCCCTGCGTAGGCTGGTTTGGCAATTCTGGCCAAAGTACCGATTCTCACGCATCACGAACACTTGAGTGTGAGAGCAATCAATTCTGTAGAATAATGAGTAGAGTAGATACCTAAACCCCTATATAAAACTATACTATAAGCCTAGTACTCTGTGTGCATACCATTTGCAGCAATTACTGCTGCCATACGTGTAGGCATACTATTAAGGAGAGCATTAAGCTCAGCTTCTCCAACTTGCTCCCACTCTCCCTTAACAGCTACACGGAGCTGGTCGTAGGACATATGTTCTGGATGATTATCTTGTAGATAATTCTTCATAATATGCCACACCCGTTCAATTGGGTTGAGATCTGGTGAATACGGGGGCCATTCTATAGGGCAAATACCACGGGATCTCAACTCTTCATATGTTGCACCTGCTCTATGACCTGGAGCTCCATCTTGCATCAATGTAAGGCCTGGGTGTAGGCGTAGCCAGCCGTGGATTAGAGGGACAGTATGAGCCATATAGGACTCAGCTCCTATTTTCCCATATTCCTTCTCCCAAAATAGTATAGGACCCTTTCCAAGACCACCTGAGAAGCATCCCCAGAACATCCAACCTCTAGGGATTGTTAGTAAATCCTATAGTAAATAGGAGTCTCTTACCTTCTCCGTTGTACTCTATCTACAACACATGTATCATCCCACATTTCCCCTGCTTTTCAAGTAACACACGTACGAGTATGGCGGCCTCCCGTTACCCACGTCTCGTCAGTCCAAAGTATCCTATTCCAATCATTCCATACCCAATCCTTATGTTCAATAGCCCATGCAAGTCGCTTTTGTCGATTTGTCTCTGAGATAATAGGCTTCCGCATAGCAATCCCTTAATAATTATTAGTCTATAATCGTTGGTTCTCAAACCACCGCCTGGAGGCGGTTGGCGAAAGCGAACTGGGACGCGAAAGCGATTGTGGGACACTTCGGGAGCGGACTCGCGACGCGACACGACCGACCATGAACATGACTGACAACGTAACAATGCTGTAAATATATATAAGTTATAGAATTAAATAATTAAAAAAGATTTGGATCAATATTGTCAGGCAGTGATTGATCATCACAGCCACCGTCACTTGCATCGTGAATCATGTCGTAGTCCAAGCCTGCAAAGTTCACGTACCCACTCTCCTCAATGGCTAACAGTCGGTCCGCCTCCTCCTCCTCCTCACGTTTCTTCTGTGTAACGTCCGGGTCAATGATTTCTGTACGTAAGCCAATTGGTGGCTCCGTGTCTGGGTTACTTTTTTGAAATTCATGTAGGTCCTTTTTCCGTGTACGTTCTGCCTTCCGTGCATCGATGCCAGCACGGAGCTGCATCTTACGCTCAACGTTCACCATGCGTGTTCTCTCTCTTTTCTCCCATGCTTCTTCTAAAAGTTGCTCCTTTACCTTCTTCTCATAAATCCTTTGCCGTGCATGTTCAACTGTAATAGCACCACCTTTTTGAATAGATTTCCGACTTCTTCTATTGTTGACATAAGCGGTCTCTCGCCCCGAATCTGTTAGCGCAAGGCTACCATTGTGGCGTGGCGACAGCCTTCCAGGCCCTTCTAGAGGGGCACAGTAAGAAAGAAGGCTTGAAGTTGTTCCTGCGAAGGAAAATGCATTGTTACAAACTAAGAAGCCGGTAACTCTAAAATTCAATCATGGCAGCGCCTGCTGAGCTGAGCTGGTCTGCGCCTTTCACGGTGGCTCCAACGGCACAGATTACGAAGAACTTAACCGGCGACAAGATACTCCTGCCACCTTCTGCTCTGGAGCAACTCCTCGCCGCTTCACAAGCTGTTCCGACACCTCAACACAATGCTATCCGTGCGGGCTTCGATCCTTTCAATCCATACTCTCTAACTGCTGCCCGAGCAGAAGCATCACAATGGCACGATACACAACAACAGCTACCCCACCCTCTGACCTTCCGGCTTGTCAATCCCAAGAATGGCCGCGTTATATATGCTGGCATCCGAGAGTTTTCAGCTGAGGAGGGCCAGATTGGGCTCAGCCCTTCTCTCTTAGACGCTCTTGGGGTTACAACAGAGGCGGTCGGAGGTGTCGAGGGAGAGCCAATAGACCTCACGGACGATAACGAGGTTGGAGAAGTGGATAGGATAATGGTCCATGCGAAGCAGCTCCCAAAGGGCACATATGTTCGCCTACGGCCGTTGGAAGCCGGCTATAACCCGGATGATTGGAAATCGCTGCTCGAGCGACACTTACGAGAGAATTACACGACACTTACGAATGGCGAGGTACTCAAAATACCAGACACGAGCAGGAGAGGACACACCTTCCAAATTTTAATTGATAAATTCGTTCCGGAAGGAGATGCGATATGCGTCGTAGACACGGACCTAGAAGTCGATATAGAAGCATTGAACGAAGAACAGGCCAGGGAGACAGTGAAGCAGATTATGGAAAAAGCACAGAGCGCCCCGGGAACGGCAGAAGGTAGCTCCTCTGGATCCGTTCTGGATATATGGACTCCAGTACAGGGCCAGGTCTTGGAGGGAGAATATGTGGACTATGAGCTTCCTTCATGGGACAGATCCCGGATTCTTGAAATCGAAATCACCCTGGATGAAGGAGATGAGGTAGACCTATTCGTCAACCCTCTAGCTTCCCGGCAGAGAGCAAGACCGCGAGAGGAGGAGCATGTTTTTGGGGAGTTTGATAGCGAAACTTCTTCAAAAAATATACGTATACGGCCGACAAACGTCGAATTAGAGGGGGCCGAGTCGCTCTACATATCTGTCCATGGATACAGCCGTCCTGAGGGGCCTGATCTGGCCATGAAGCCATCCCCTCGACGTTACATATTGAGAGCCCAGTCGGTCGAAGATGGTACTCCAGACGTATTAACGGTGGACTTAACGACGGGCGAAGATTCTCATGACTCCGAGGATGAGCAGTGCAAGAACTGCCACCAATGGGTACCTAAACGCACAATGATGTTACACGAGAACTTTTGTTTACGCAACAACATTCTCTGCGAGCAATGCCAAAGCGTCTTCAAGAAAAATTCTCCGGAGTGGCAGTCTCACTGGCACTGCGAGCACGACTCAGCACATGGGAATTCTGCCGCCAGCCAGATCAAACACAACCATATCTACCACAGCGACGTCACTTGCCCATCTTGCGACTACCAAGCTTCATCCACCCCCGATCTCGCCCTCCACCGCACCACCCTCTGCCCCGGCAAGCTCATTCTCTGCCAATTCTGCCACCTCTCCGTCCCCCAAGAAGGCGACCCATCCGCGCCCTCCGCTGAAGCTCTTCTCTCCGGCCTCACAGCCCACGAGCTCGCCGATGGCGCCCGCACAACAAACTGTCACCTCTGCCAGGCCATCGTGCGTCTACGCGACATGACCACGCATCTCAAGCACCACGATCTCAGCCGGAACTCCAAGCCGCTGCCGCGCATCTGCCGCAACGTGAACTGCGGGCGCACGCTGGACGGCGTCAGCAAGAACGGGCAGGTTGGCACGGCGGCGCGGGTCGGGCAGGGACCGGGAAACGAGCTCGGGCTGTGCAGCATCTGCTTTGGGCCGTTGTATGTTAGTATGTATGACCCGGAGGGGAAAGCAATGAAGCGGCGGATTGAGAGGAGGTATTTGTCGCAGCTTATTACGAGGTGTGGGAAGGCATGGTGCGGGAATGAGGTGTGTAAACAGGGGAGGGTCAACCTGGGGATCACGAAAGGTGGGGTTGTTGTCACTGCTAAGGACGCGCTGCCAGAGGTGAAGCCGTTGCTGGTGGATCTTGGGAGCGCGCCGATGCACTTCTGTGTTGACGAGAGGAGCCAGAAGTGCAGGAAGTTGGCGGAGATGCTGGCTGCGGAGGGGGTTTACGAGTTAGAGTGGTGCATTGCGGCGTGTGAGGCAGAGACTGGGGAATTAGATGCCGCCAGGCAGTGGTTGTCGAACTGGGCTCCGAAGAAGACGGAGACCTCGTCGCGGTAGGGGGGAGTAGAGCTATTGGATATGGTATGATCAGCATAGCGTGGCACTCTTAGAAGATTCACATCACGAGACTAGTTGGAATATATTACGTGGCCGCTCGGCCCTCATACACTCCGTCGACTATACACATACTATGACTATGAATTATGTTTTATAACTTCCATGGTCATCTGCTACTTCTGGCCAAGACACACTTGTTGTCTTGGCTCACGCCCCACCTTTCTTACAGTTCCTCTATTGCACTCAAATCCTCATGGTCTACCTTACCGGGATTTCACGTTTTGAAACAAGGGTAGCGACACGGTTTGTGGACCTGTCACTAAATTTTGGTGGTACAATTTGAACGGTTTGCCGTCCATGCGCCCGTGGCCCCACATGTTTCTCATGCCCACGGTGTTCAGTCCCAAACGGTCGACGCAGAACACCAGTAAATAGGAAATAGATAGTAGTAGAACAGTAAAAGGAGTATACCGTTTGTTATCCTGCCTTGGTGACCAATATTGAGCCGTAATTGACCACAAAACTGGGATTGGTCTGCCACGGCAACTCCTGATATCCACCGAAGGCGGCCCTGGCTTGGTTGTGGCGCCAATATCGCAGCCATCAACGGTGGCAGGGCCGTATTTGTGGAATTCTCACTCCATGCCCGAAGCATCAGGCGGCGGAGTTCTCACTCCGCACCATGAGAAATAGACTTGGGGGCAAACTCCGGTCAAGCCTACGGACTTGCTTACCCGCGACTCAGAGGAGAGTTCTACAGTATATAGAGTAGCTAGAGTAGCTAGATTAAATGAATATGCATTTTACTATTGATCAATTGGGCCCTACTCGTGATACCGGAATTATCATTTACTATTCTACCGAACCTACCAAGCGCAGATTCAACAGGTTATGAGCCCGGACGCAGAGCGTTCTTATAACCAAGAATAGGATATCAAACATCGAGTGTCTAGAACGTCCAATCAGTCTCTCGAAAAGGTCTATACCTGTCGCCACCAGCAGCATCACTGGCCAGAATGACGACGGAAAGACTCATCGCCACGTTGAAGAGTCAAGAGAAGCTGAAGGGCAGTGCCAATTACCTCTCATGGAAGAGACGAATTGAACAGACACTAGCCCAGGCAAGCGTACTGGAATACGCTCTTGGCCTCGGCAAAGGGGTGAAGCCGGAGCCGGCTGACGAATATGAGAAGTTGGGTATCGGAAAGAAGGAATCAGCCTATATCATCTGGTTTACCGGTAACGCCCAAGCTTACTCGATAATCGAAGCCACATGCGGATCAGAAACAGTCGAAACGATTCGACTGACTGTCAGCGCCGCCGAAGCTTGGAAGCTCCTCCATAACCGGTATGAAGGAAAGGGCAACTTCGTGCTCACCAAAGGTTTCGACGACTGGCACTCACTATCACTTGATCCAGAAGATATAGCCGCCTTTAACATATGCTTTAAGAATATCAATTCAAAGTTATCAGGGGCTGGATTGGATGTTCCACCAGTCATGTCGATGCTGCATTACCTAAATGCAGTTCAAGCTACATTTCCCACTTGGGCGGACAAATATAGGGGCAAAATGCGGAAATACCAGTTGGGAAGCATGCCTACAATTGGAAATCTGGATGATCTAATGGACAGGCTCTTAGAAGAGAGCCGGTCCCGTAATGTCGCTGATGAACGAGCCGTCGCCTTATACGGAAACCAGCCACCAAAAAGAGGTGGGTATACTGGAAGGGCGAGTGGCTGTGGCGGCAGTAGAGGAGGGGCCCGTCAAGCCTCTGCCTCAAGACTAAGAGAGTCTTGCGACCACTGTGGCCGAGACTGGCATTCAGAAGCCAAGTGCTGGAAGAAGCACCCTGAGCAGCGGCCCTCTCATATAGGGGCTAATGATACTGCTAGAAAACAGGAGACGATCGCCTTGATAGCAGCTTTCGTTACAAATGGCCCAGCCAAACGTCAGGAATGGATCCTTGACTCAGGGGCGAGCCACCACATGTGCCATGACCGGAAGCTGTTTGCGAACTACGTTCAAAATGAGAGTTCCGAACGGCCAATTGAGACTGCCGGAGGAATGACTCGGGCAGAAGGGGTTGGCACAGTCCGCCTCACTTTTATTACCTCTACCGGCATAGAAAGAGAAGTAAGACTTGAACAAGTTTATCACTTACCTGAGCTCACGGTCAACCTGCTCTCAGCGAACAGGATTGGGCAAAAGGGGTTCTACATTGACAGTTTTACCCAGACCCTCCGAAGCAAGAAGAATAGACAAGAACTGTGTGCCTTCATGGCAACTAGTTCTCATATGAGAATCCTGACGGCCGAAGCGCAAATGCAGGCCTTCGCCGCCAGCACTAGAAAACAGGAGCCGCAGCCAATTGAGCTGTGGCACAGAAGACTCGGTCATCTTGGACCTGAGAACGTCCTTCGCACAGCAGCAACAACGACCGGCGTTGCTATACCAGTCAGCTTGGCAAAGAAGAAGCCACTAATATTAGAAGGGGGCTTTCAGTTCAAGCCATCGAGCACAATACTATGCAAGCCATGCACCACAGCAAAGTCGCTGCGGACGCAGTCGAAGAAGCCTCAAATAAGGGCTCTTCGTGCTTTCGACCGGATCCATATCGACATGATAGGACCAATTAAACCAAAGGGCATTGATGGCTCTGAGTGGGCCATTATGATGACTGACGATAAAACCCGGGCCCGATGAGTCTACCCTTTACAAAGAAAGGGTGATGCTCACCGAGCCATTGTCAATTTCTGCGAGTTAATCAAGACTCAATATGGAAGCTATCCTAAGGCTTTGCAGATTGACAATGGAACGGAATATGGGGGTGGCACTCTTCGAGCCTACTGTTCAGGAAAGGGGATACTAATCGAATATACAGTCATCTACACTCCTGAACAAGATGGAGTCTCTGAACGGTCAAATAGGACCATCATTGAGAAGACTAGGACGATGATCATCGAGATCATCGAATAGAAAGCCCAGCTAATAGTAGCTGAGCTAAGCAATGACCAGCTCAGGGCTCTTTGGCCTGAGATTATCAAAACGGCCATGTATATCACAAACCGGACCGCAACTCTCAGTTCAGGGCTTACTCCTATAGAGCTCCTTAGCACTGATCAAGGACAGGCATCGAAGCCTGACCTCTCACATATGAGAATAATAGGCTGCAATGCCCATTATCACATCCACAAAGAGAAACGGGCATGAAGTGCTTATAGCACTAGAGCTAGGACTGGAATCCTCGTCGGATATGACGGAAGCACCATATACCGGATATATGACCCTACAAACGTGGTTATCCGATCGTCAGCAGTAGTATTCGACGAGATCACCACACTGACAGAAGCAGCTGTCATTGAGATTAGCGATCTAGACAGCGAAACGGACCGTCTAGATGTGTTTGAGACACTAAAACAGGAAGGAAGCATCCCTAACAGCTGTAACGGACGTCAAAGCGACCCGCAAGCCTGTGAAACAGTCACTCGTGTCATACAGGACACTGAGCTAGAGCTGCTTAAAGAAGATACCATGGTCGTAGATAGACGGCCACATATTATGCAGTCTAGAAACATTGCTCAACAAGAAGAAAGTGATGACCAAGAAGCCATCGATCACCCACTGACATCGTTATGTTCAGCCGGAGTGGAGGCCTCGAGGCTCGCAGAATGCTGAGAATCACTGGTCACATACTCGCTGTCTAGTGTGTCTCCTTGTTCGATAGATGAACAGCATGGGGGCTGGCTTCCGTTGTCGAGTGTAATGGTGGGTGCACCAGATGTGAGAATCTAGCCACCCAAGGAAGGGATGAATTTACTAAGACAACACACTGTCTTAGGAAACAGAGCCAAAGGGTTGTAGCTTAGACTATTCCACAACGCAGCAATCAGGTGTGTGATGTAGTGAAGTGGTTCAGACAAGTTGCAACAAATGTTGAGTCTGGGAACTCAGGGGTAAGTCAGAGGTTAACACCTCACTGACTTTTCAGAAACAAGGAGTAACAAGATGAATGCTTGGAAGCTTGTAAAAGACGTGGAAGTATGTGATAGTCGATTTACTGTATTGCCTGCTTGCCCTTTCTTAAGGAAAGGGCAATCCTATTTATGCCAAAGGAGTGTAGTTCTCTCATTTTCCAAGACTTTCCATGACTTACCAGGCTTGGTAACTGTAGTCGACGTAAGAGAATCCCATAGAACCATCTCTTAGGTTCGTAGCCTATAGGAAGTGAAAGGAGGTCCAAGGTCAGAGTACCCCTATAGACAAATTATGTCATAACTTAACCAATCTTGTGGGTAACTAAAGAGCGATGACGTGTAATGAATCATAGAGGTTCGTAGGAGCTTTTAGAGCTATCGTTCATGCTCCTAGGCCTCTAGTTGGTAGAGATATGTCATGTGGTAGTATGAGTGATGTCATGTAATGAATCATAGAGGGTTGTAGAGATATGCTATGTGGTAATATCAGCCCAGTAACTAAGGAGCGATGACGTGTAATGAATCATAGATGGTTGTAGCAATCGTTGAGTAGTATTGCTCTTGTTGTTGGTGTGATAAGCCAAAATATGTATAGTGACTTGTAGGTTTGAGGAGGAGATTTCCAAGTTTGCTCTTAAGTTTGATAGCAAACTGAGTGCAACGAATGTCAGTATGACATCGAGCTCTTGTTGAGCGGCTGGAGAGGTCTGATCGGAAGCCTCGAGATTCAAGTCCGGACGTAGGAGAAGGGTAGAAGCCTGGCCACCAGGATCAGACTCCTCGTATGTGATAGACGGTGGCGAGAGAGAGGTCAGAGCCTGGTCAATAGATGTGCGTGGATTATAAGGTGTCGAGATGGGAGTGGCAAGTGCTGTTGAGTGTGTTACCTCTCGGACTGCTGTCACAATTGCGTCACGAGCAACCGGGTGTTTTTCAAAGTATCGAGTAGTGTTCTCATTCCGTAGCCATCGGACCACAGACTTAACCGCCTGAGAGGCTGTCAGCAATGCTACGTTCAAAGGAATTGGAAGAAGTGTATGATACTAGACCTTGTCAACGTCTGACGTGTCCAAAATATTCAGCTCTGAATCGTCGTCTAGATCTGGACGAGCCATCAAATTAATATGTCTCTTGGATCGGCTGTTTAAAGGTCATGAGTGGACAGAGGGTAAAACGACAGAAAAGGTCAACATGGGGGAGATGGTACGGGACTGGGTGGGGGGGGGGGGGGTCAAAAATCGTAATGGGCAAAAGCCATTATGATTTTTGACCCCTGCAAGTACTTCCGAGGGTACATAAGACCGCCACACTGTCATTAATAGTTGGCAGTTTGGCACTTCTATATATAACTGTGTGGCGGTCTTATGTACCCTCGGAAGTACTTGCAGGGGTCAAAAATCATAATGGCTTTTGCCCATTACGATTTTTGACCCCCCCCGGCCCCCCAGTCCCCCATCGTCCCCCCCATCTTGACCTTTTCTGTCGTTTTATCCTCTGGCCACCGCATACATGCCATTTCCTCGTTGACCATCTCTTCCACTCGTGACCTTCAAAGCATATTTGCTTAAGCATGAATGTTCTCGGATCGCAGTATATGAGGTTTATTTCTGCGTAAATCGTATTCCTTGGCCACTTGTAACAGTTTGTAAAAAATTGTGAATTATATAGTAATAATACACCAAAATGGCTACAACCCCACAGCCTGGAACCTCCCAGTTTCCTGTCAGCGCAGCTGCAGTCAGCCCTGCTGCTATAGGAGCTACAGCTGCTCCTACTGCAGTGATGAGGGTGCTAGGACGGGCACGCCTTAGCGTGGAGGACGCAGAGAGAGTCCTCCGCATCATGAATAATAGCTCCCAGCGATTGGGAGCTATATCCAAAAAGCAATTCTGGCTAGACGTCACAGCGTGGGTCCTCCCAGCACACTGGGAGGACCCACACCAACCTCCAGCGCAATCTGCAAGACAGGGAGAAAGCTTGGAGGCTGGACCATCCTCCTGGCGACGACGAGCTCCATAGTGGGGAGCTAGAACAAGACGACACAGAGTATGACGCCCAAATGAGGGCGTGGATACTTTGCGTCGACGAAGAATCAGCGCAGAAAGCAGCCCGCAAAGAGCGGGCTGCAGAGGCTGGAGAAGAGAGCAGTCAGGCTAGCAAGGACCGACTGTCTCTTATGTCAAGCTGGGCAGACAAGAGAGCCTTGTCTGCGCCATATCGACATTGAAAGAGAGAGCCAGCTGCACATGCTAGGGCCCTCTCCAGCCTTGCATCCAGCAACGAGGAGGAGGAGGAGGATGAACAGGAGGAGGAGGAGGAACAGGAGGAAGTGAATATAGAGGGGGAACCCTTCAAAACTCCTTCCACCCCAATTTCCTCCTCCTCTTCAACACGCTCCTGCAGACCTCCCAGCTCCCGAAAGCGCAGGCTATATTCTTCTGATGAGGGTTCAAAAAGGGCAAAAAAAGACACTCTTGAATCAAGCATTGCATTGCTTGCAGTGTCAATGGCAAATCGACGAAGCGCCCGAGGCGCAGCAGAGGAAAGGCAGCTAGCGCTTGAGGTGCGGATAGAGGCCATTGAGGCTGGGCAGAAGGCGATTCTTGCTGCTGTATTAAGTAGCTCAACCTATAGAGGCCATAGGTTAGCTGAGTTTGAGGAGGAGGAAGAGGACTTACCTGTATATAATAATGTAAATAACGTACATGTATAGCGAAAGCGCCAAACAAGCGAAAGCGCCAAAATGATGCGGTGACCAAACCCCCCAACTAAATGTTAAATTCCTCAACAACAAAACATGCCCCATAAAAACGATGAAAGCCAATTAGTGCTAGCTATCCAGGCTATGCAAAGCGACCCAAAGTTACGCCTTCGAGTTGCTGCTAGGATCTATTCTGTGGACCACCGCAAGCTAGGTCGTCGTCTAGAAGGTGTACCTTCACGACGCGATATCCAAGCCAACTCACGGAAATTAACTAACCTAGAGGAGTCCGTCCTTGTTCAGTATATACTCGACCTAGCTGCCAAAGGGTTTCCTCCTCGGCTGTCTGTTGTTGAAGATATGGCAAGTCGACTACTTGCAACACGCGACGCGTCACGCGTTGGGTCGCGTTGGGCTTCAAACTTTGTTAAGCGGCGTGTAGAGCTCCAGACACGCTTTCAGCGCAAATACGACTACTAGAGGGCTAAGTGCGAAGATCCAGAAGTTATTAATGGCTGGTTTGAGCTTGTGCGTAACACAATTGCGAAATATGGTATCGATGAAGCAGATATCTACAACTTTGATGAGACTGGGTTTATGATGGGCGTTATCTCAACTGCTATGGTTGTAACAAGCTCAGACGGGCGGGCAAAAGCAAAGAAGGTACAGCCTGGTAATCGGGAATGGGTTACAGTAATCCAAGGCGTTAGTTCTCAAGGTTGGGCAGTACCACCATTTATCATTGTTGCAGGCAAAAACCACCTTACATCTTGGTATGAGAATAGTGGATTTTCAAGCGATTGGGTGATTTCTGTTACTGAAAATGGCTGGACTACAAACGAGAGAGGCATGGATTGGATTCAGCACTTTGAGAAGCATACAAAGGCCCAGTGTTGGTGGTTATCGCTTGTTAGTCCTTGATGGTCATGAGAGCCACCACTCAGATGAGTTTGAGGAGTACTGCAAGGTGTAAGGACACAGGGAATACGGCTCTCCGTAGGTGCATATGGGAGTGCGAGTCGGAGGTGATGCTGTATTCTATCCTATAGGTCTACTACGAAGGATACAAAAAAGATGAAAGGGGAGCTTATAGCTTCCTACCCCTTATGTACCTAAATGGGGTCCGACTCGGCTAGGCCTTAGCGTACCGGTAGATCCACTCCCGTCTGCCGCCCGAATCGACCCCGACCCTAGAACATCTATGCTGCTATACTACTATGTCGCCTATTCCGCGTTGTCTTACGGGTCCGAGGGTACCCCGTGTAAGGAGGCATCCTTACACAAGGAACACAACATTATTACGCTTTGTATGCCTGCTCACTCTTCTCATCTACTCCAGCCACTTGATGTTGGCTGTTTCGGCCCGTTAAAGCAGGCCTATGGTCAGCAAATTGAAGATATGATGCAGGCTCATATTTCTCATATTACAAAGGATGACTTCTTTCCTGCCTTCCACGCTGCATTTAACACTACAATGACGGAAAGTAACATTCGAGGCGGGTTCCGAGGGGCAGGGCTTCTTCCATTTGACCCTGAGAGAGTGATATCTACACTTGATCTTAAGTTAAGGACACCAACGCCTCCAAGCTCCCGCCCAGGTACTGCTCAACCTTGGGTTTCTCAGACACCAAACAACCCAATTGAAGCTATGTCACAGTCTACATTTATTAAAACTCGGATTTCACGCCATCAAAATAGCTCTCCAACCTCAATCTATGCAGCTGTTGACCAGTTTACAAAGGGTGCATCGCAAATAATGCATCAATTAGCACTGCTAAAGGGAGAGAACCAAAACCTACGACAGGCAAATGAAGTACTAAGCAAGCGCCGGAGAGTTAGGAAAACACGACTACAGCAAGGAGGATCACTTAGTCAACAAGGGGCGCAAGAGCTACAGGATGAGAGGGATGTTGTGCAGCAGGTAGAGCAGGAAATAAGGGCAAGCCGTGGTCGGAAGCCAAGGGAAGAAACCCGTGCCCGTCGCTGTGGCAAGTGTGGTGAGACTGGGCACAATGCGCGCACGTGTCAGATTGTAATAGACACCTCTGAGGAAGAGGACTCCGAGTAGTTTCAATTGATTTCTAATGTTGTGGTAGATTTATCGCAATGTTTGTCGTGAGGGTAGATAATTTTGGCGCTTTCGCTTGTTTGGCGCTTTCGCTATACATGTACGTTAACCCTCTTTAATAATTAACTTACTAATATTATATAGATTAATCCTTTAGACTATTGGAAAATAAATCAATCTCGATTTCCAATTCTAGCTACTATAGCTAGGCGCTATTTACAAATCCCTGCTACTAGTGCTCCTATAGAGAGCTTTTTTAGTATAGGTAGCCTTATTATTTCAAAGATTAGAAATAGGCTTTCTAAAGACATTTTTAGAGTAATAGCTTGTTTAAAGAGTTGGGATTTTATAAAGGAAGAAGAAGAGGATCTACAAGAGGAATTTATAGCTAAATTAATACTTTAAGAAGTATTTAGATAGATTAATATATATTTGGTTTCCTTTTCTACTATACTACTCAGGCCATGTGATTCTAACATCATGTGATAATCATGAATAATTATCAAAGGGTAGGTAACGTAAGTCATGGCGTAACGCGGGGGATGGCGTAACGCGGTGGAATTTTGAAGAGAACACAACAAATCTGTAAATTTAACTACAATCAACGATAATACATGATCCACCATCACTCTTAGATTGTTCCCCTGCTTCTTCCTCAATATACTCGTCAATTTCAATGTCTGCGGAGGCATTCTTATCCTTTGTTTTGCGCTTTTTCTTACTTGGGTTATGTGTCGCCTTTTCCGCCTCCATCACCGCATCACACAACTCTTGCGTAGAAACATGAAAGTGACCCTTCAGAATAACCCTTTTCCCCTTCGTACGTACCGTACGTTGCTTTATAACTGATCGCAGGTTGTTGGCATCGAGTTGGTGGACACTGCTGCGTTGTAATGGTGGGTGCACCAGATATGAGAATCTAGCCACCCAAGGAAGGGATGAATTTACTAAGACAACACACTGTCTTAGGAAACAGAGCCAAAGGGTTGTAGCTTAGACTATTCCACAACGCAGCAATCAGGTGTATGATGTGGTGAAGTGGTTTAGACAAGTTGCAACAAATGTTGAGTTTGAGAACTCAGGGGTAAGTCAGAGGTTAGCACCTCACTGACTTTTCAAAAACAGAGAATAACAAGATCAATGCTTGGAAGCTTGTAAAAGACGTGGAAGTATGTGATAGTCGATTTACTGTATTGCCTGCTTGCCCTTTCTTAAGGAAAGGGCAATCCTATTTATGCCAAAGGAGTGTAGTTCTCTCATTTTCCATGACTTTCCATGACTAACCAGGCTTGGTAAATGTATTAGAAATCAAGTGCGACCCACAACTAGCTTGCTAATCATGTAGTGAACGTAAGAGAATCCCATAGAACCATCTCTTGGGTTCCTAGCCTATAGGAAGTGAAAAGGAGGTCCAAGGTCAGAGTACCTATAGACAAATTATGTCATAACTTAACCAATCTTGTGGGTAACTAAGGAGCGATGACGTGTAATGAATCATAGAGGGTTGTAGAAGCTTCTAGAGCTATCGTTCATGTTCCTAGGCCTCTAGTTGGTAGAGATATGCCATGTGGTAGTATTGGCCCACCCCCTTAAGGAGGAGATTTTCTTAATAACTTGTTCAATGAGTGTCCAAATGATATGCCGTGATGTATGTAGCATAAACAGATGTAGTAGAAGAGTTTGCAGCAATCGTTGAGTAGTATTGCTTCTGTTGTTGGTGTGATAAGCCAAGATATGTATGGTGACTTGTAGGTTTGAGGAGGAGATTTCTAAGTTTGCTCTTGAGTTTGATAGCAAACTGAGTGCAACGAATGTCAGTATGACATGCGTGCTCGAAGTTGCTCTGACGCAACTGTGAGTTTTTGGATGTACGTCCGCACTGGTGTTGACAGCACCCCACCACCATTAATCATAGTTGTAAGGAGCGCATTTGCAGAGCGTAAGGTCATCCCATCTGGGGGGGAGCTGTTGATAAAGACTCGGTCAAAAATATCATACTAATGTGGTGTTTTTGGTCGGTCAGCCTCGACTGATGGTTCAGCATTGAGCAGCGTACGCAATGCTCGCTGGGGATTAAAAGGAAACAAGCCAGCGCCACGGTATGCTGACTCAATGTTGTGATGGTTGCATATATCAAGCAGTGCCTGGATGTATGCCTCCATCCATTCATACTTCTGTATGCGTGCAAGTTGCGCTTGGTTGAGTGGGGAGAGCGCTGCTGTCAGACGCTTTTTTAGCGGGGTGAATATCACAACATCTAGTGGTTGTAGTAAGTGCGATGTATGAGGGGGAAGTATCAGTAATATAATATGGTTCTGTATGTAATGCAAATGAAACTCCCACTAATGTGTAAGTCGTGGCCGTCGCATATAAGAAGCCGGTGCTGACCATCTACTTTTACCCGTGTTGTTGGCTCAAAGATGCGTTTTAACCACTCCAACCCATGGAGGTTGCTTGTCCAGCCTTTCGTATTCGCAGAGAAGAACCACTGGTCGATGACTGCAGGCGGAATCCATGATTGGAGAACGTTCTTGCCCTTAAAGATCCCGAGGGTGGGAGGATGGTTCCGTCTGCGCAGATGCACTCAACCATCGAAACCCATTCCTGATGGCCAGGATGCGCTTGATGCTTCGTACGAAGTGTTGAATCAAGTATAATTCGAGTAGATTCCATTGTCCCAATCGAAAATCCGGATTCATCCATGTTATATGTGTTCTCTTGCGTGATTCCAAACTCTTGAACCACCTTGGTGTACGCGTTAAACCATGCCGTAAGCACTGGTTTTGTTGCACCGTCCATGCGTACAGTTTCGATCCGTCGCCCAATAGCGACCTGTAGATGGGGATGTCGTTGTATGAATCGTGGTACCCAGTCGCGACCGAGGGAAAATCGTGGTTGGGGTAGAAGTAAGTTTGGCGTCGCGTCGTCAAAATTGAGTGACCGGTGCGACCGGAGTTCTTCAGCTATTTCCTTCAACAACCGATGCCCTGGAGAATAGCCGCTGATTGTTAGGTTTTTAATCCACTTTAGAAGTATCTGTTCTTGCGCGCCTGATAAATTCTGCTGTTTCTGGCAGGCTTGGGAGCGTGTCAAACCTCCATTGACGCGTCGCGTCACTGAACTCTTCGGCAGCCCCAGCACTTTCTCAGCGTGATATGCACTCTTATACTTCTTAGATTGGACGTCTAATACTGCCTGGGCTATTAAAGTTTCACGCTCAGCAACACCCAGGCTTTTACAGCGAACCATTGTTGAGTTATTCACAGTTATCAGAAATCGGCGGGGTGAATTCCCCGCGTTACGCCATCCCCCGCGTTACGCCACGACTTACGTTATATACTCGAGGATATACTCGGATACTACGGGTATATTAGTATCCGTGCCGAACACTGAACTACGTTTACACTGAAGATTTCACATTAAAGTTCTTAACAAGACGATGTGTGAATAACAATAATGATTCATTATAGCAATATTCCTAGCTATCGATAGACTACAGCAGCTGCAACAATGATTTTAAACATCTCTTTCGCAAAAAACCCATTACCCTCCCCAACGCCAGCTCCCAAAGCCTCATTCAAACAAAAAAAGCAAACACAAGTACACCCTCTCAAGTCTCAGCAGCATCAATAGCTGCCCTCAGCACGGGATACAAGCTCTCCTCAACCTTAACCTCCTTCTCCCCCTCCCCCTCCTGCGTCTCCCCCATCTCCGTATCCTCCCCCTCCTTATCATCCTCATACTCCCCCCTCTCAAGCCTATCAGCAATTAACTTCCTCAACGCCTCAATAACCCTAATATTCTCCACCCACACCTCCTCCGCGCGATCCCGCGCATCACCCTCCTCCGTCCCGCTCGCGCTAGGACTGCTCACCCCACCCGACAGCGCAGGGTCGATATTCGACTCCGCGCGCGCACCGTAGGGGCGCTTCGCGTCGGGGGTGGTGGACTCGTCGCGTGCCGGCCGCGAGACGCGCGGCGCAGCGGACTTTTGAAGCATACCGCCGCTGTAGCGACGGCGGGGGTCGGAGTCGAAGTTTGTCCCTAGAGTGGAGACGGGGGGGGTGGTGTGAGGGGCGTAGGCGGAGGAGACGGCAGGGAGGGTGGGGTATGCGACTGGGGTGGATGCGTGGCGGGAGGAGTTGCCGGGGGAGAGGCCGGGGACGGACGATGGGGAGTGAGCGGAGGAGTAGGACATTGTTGATGGGGGGGTGAGGGCGGGCGCGCTCGATTGTGGTGAGTGCGTGGCGGCCATGTGGGAGGATGGGGGTGCGGAAGATTGCGGGACGGAGACGCCTAGGTTCTGCGCGGCGGTCTGGGGGGGTGACTGTGATTGCCGGAAGCCCATGGCTTGGTGGGTGTAGTGGCCTCCGGGCTGGTGGATGCCGGCGGCAGCGGCAGCGCTGGAGCTCTCGTAGACGGTGGATTGCATCTGGTCGAGGAAGTTGTCGATGTTGAGGAGGTCGCTCTTCGTCTTCAGATTGGGCATTGGGAGAGAGTAGTGTGGCTGAGGCATCGAGGCGACGCCGGGCCCGTGTCCGCCTCCTCCTACGGCCATCAGAGGCTGCGAGGGCATGTAGTCAATCAGGGCTCCGCCTTGGATGGGGAGGCCGTGAAGGTGCATCAGGCGTTGGCCGACTTGGGGGTACGAGGTTGGGTCGATGTTGCGACGCTTGGCATCACCGAAGAAGTCATTCAGAGCGTCAAACCCGCGCTTTCTTGGGTCATAGTTTGCGTGGTGGCCCAGCTCAGCTGCGTGCTGGCTCACTGGGTAGTAGACTGGCCCGTAGCTCTGGGCTTGCTGTGGCTGGTAGTATCCGTTGTGGCCGCCGTTGTGGTGCGGCTGCCCGTAGTTTCCGGTAGGTTGGTGCATTTGCGGGTTGGAGTGGTCATAATAACCTGTGGCTCCGGCTGCTATGTGCATGTTAGAAACCGCAAAAGCACCAGAGTATCCCAGGAGTGGCCTGGAAGGAGAGTACCCACGTTTACCGTTTGGGGCACGGTAGCCACCAACCTGCCCACCATGCTGGTCAGGTGAACGGAGAAGGACGGAATCATCAGCATGTGTCTAGCGAATGTTAGTTTCTGTTCTAATTTTTTGGTCGTGTGAGCAGCTTGCTTACCTTGACATGCTTCTTCAAGTCCTGGGGACGCTTGAAGCTCTTGCCACAGAAGTCACACTTGTGCGGCTTGAGCGGAACATGGACACGGATGTGAGACGTGATGTGGTCGCGCTTGACGGTGGTTGTGCAGCAATTGTTCCAGCCGCAGGTCAAGTTCAAGTTATTAGTGCTCTTGCGACCGACATGGCGCTCACAAATGTGGTCATAGAGGGCCTCGGGCGATTGGCAGCGCTCAGTACATTTGTCCCATTGGCAAGCGAGGTTGTCGTCGCTGGCGACAGTGGGACGGCTAACCTGGGCGCTGGCATCAGAGAAGGTGGAGGTGGAGGTTGAGGCCGTCGCGGTTGGAGGCGTCATGCCTACTGGGCGCGTCTGCGTCTGCTGGTCTTGGGACGACATGATGATCGAAGGATTCTTGGCGTGGCAGAAAGTAGGTTAAGTATAGCAAGGAGTGTGGAGTGATTGGGGCGGTGAGAGCCTATTCGTTAATCCACGGGAGGCGCGCGGGAAAAATAGAGATTTAGGCGACGAACTTTGGGAAGGAACGATGCTCGGCGGCGAACAATCGAGTCAAGTTGAGATGTTGAGGTAACGATGAAGTAGATATTCGAAGTCGGCGTCTTAGCAACCCATTAAGCAAAACAAGCGAGTTGCTTGGTAAAAGACACGTCTCTGACGCGTGGGAACAGAGGCTGGGTGGTCTTGGCGTCGAAAGGGGAGGACCGAGTACCTATTTATGGTATTTTATGGGGAACGCAGAGGAGGACAAGGCTTGGTGTTGTTGGACAAAACAAATAGGCTCTGGATGGTTGGTGTGGAAGTAGTAATTGGGGATGGATATAGGGGAGTATTTGGGATGAAGGGGAGGAAGGGGAATTTAGATAGATGGAGGGGGAGGGGCGGATATCACAGGTTATCATCAATAGGAAAGATTTTTTTTTTTAAAAAAAGGAAACTATAAAGTACATAAATATAAAATAAAGTACTTACTCCGTAGCATGCCCGAGTAATTCTATAGTACAGTGCGTTTTGGTGATCCCACCATCATCTAATGCCAAGACCCCCCTCCCATGCCAATATTGAGTCGAGTCCCCACTGCCCAGCCAATCCAGCGGAATTCCGAATCCAGCGCCAAGACCCCGTCCTTTGCCCAGCCAATCCGCCAATCCGCCGCTCCCAAGCCCCTCCGCCCTTCATTCCACACAAAGGCCAAGGGCGGAGTCACTTGGCCCCGACCATGGGCCAAGAAGCCAAGACAACCCATGACGCCAAGAAATCCCATGACGCCAAGAAAATCCTGCTTACCCGACGCGCCAGGCAATTTCGCCACCTTGCATTTCTGGTCACCGTAGCACACTCTGTGCCCCCGTTTTCAGCCCGCGCCAAGACTTTTTCGTCTCCTGTGCGCAACTTTTGTGCAACGTTTGTCCGCCAAACCTCCGAGAACTTGCTCACTTGCCTCTCCGGCCACCGTACCCCATCCCCACGCAATTCCGCTCAAGGACGGCTGGGCGAGGGGGCGGAGTCTCTTGTCCCTCTTGTCCCTCTGCGCCCCCAGGTCTTGGCAGTCTCGCCCAGACCCCGCTCCGTTGCTTCCTTCGTGCCAGGTGTTTCTCCGCCCGGGGGACAGCCCGTTCCAAGAGTCCAGAGTCGTCGTAAGCATTTTGCTGCGTGTTGACGGATGGTGCTTGGCTGTGGTTGGGTGTATTGGCTTTGGGGGAAGTGCTTGTGTTGTTGATTGGTAAGGTTGGCGGTGACGCGATTAGAAGCAATCTATCCTTCTATCCCGCGAAGGTAGGACGCCCCTTCTTTGCACCATTTCCCAAACACGGCTGCCGGGCGAAACGAGACATGGTTGAGATGGTTGCTATCCTATCACATAATGGAAGGTAAGGGGTAAGAGCGTAAGAGCCAATAGAGGATTTTAGCTGCTTGACCACTAGCCTTACTTGGCATCTTGGCAATTACTACAATCGGTAATGGTCAATTCAACAGATTAGCCTTGAAGTAGTAGTAGCCCCTTATCACACCTATAGCTTCGCCTAATGTAGTAATATCAGAATGGCGCCGCCTCCTCAAACTGCGATTGAGGCTTTAGATGTAGATATATATATATATATAATGTTATAATTACTATGTGTTATGGCTAAGTGCTAGTGCTATGGCTAGCGCTTACAGCTGCAACCTCACATGATGGATAACATTGGATATCATGGATATTATGTTATCCATGTTATCCACGGCAATCCACGGAATGTCATGTGATGGATAACATTGGATATCTTGGATATTGTAAGGATGCCTTCTTGTCTCTCATTCTAGGGAGTAGACTCTGGGTAGCTGCGGGGTCACTTGTGATCATTTGGGTGGGCTAACTGAGTCGGAACCGAGTCAGATGGTTTTCAGGTACTTGAGACAATCGACTCGGGGGGTTCCCCGTTCATCTTTTTTGTATCCTTCGTAGTAGACCTATAGGATAGCATCCGTTTAGCCTCCGACTCGCACTCTCATATGCTATTACTGTGAGCTGGGTGCCCTGTGTCCTTACATTATACAAAAAAGATCACGCCTGCCAGGGACAGCTGTACTTAAATAATATCCCACACCGGAACGACTCAGGAGAACTACCATTACAACATCGACCGCGACTCAGTGATGTTTCGGAGGAGAGACCTGACGACTTCAAATAGCCGTGATTCCAGAGATCTCACAGACAGCCAGTGGATCAGGGTTTGATTCTTCAGAACAAGCTGGTAAAGTCGCCGACGCATTGGCGACAAATAGGATACGAGATCAAAGAACCCCCTCCTAGCACAGAGGAAATTGTGGACAAGAGCATTGATAGCTACAAGCTACCGGAAGTCAAGCTCTTTCGTATCGGTACCGATACACACCCGAGGCAATATGTCGAAAAAGCTGACATCAAACATACCCCAAGACAACGACGGTCAACTGCCCAGAATGACTACCAGACAAACCACCGCTGAAGCTACGACTGCTGTGCCATCCGAAGACATCCCGAGTCGAATGGCCCACCTCAAAGCACAGATACAGGAGGTCAAGGATCTACTAGTTACCCTGACGGCAGCCCAGACCAGAACCCCATCCACACCGCCGGTGGACGCCCCCATACCCACAGTCGAAGCTGCGGGGCAACGAACGCCTCGCACACGAAACACCCCTGAGACAGTTCAATTGCCGCCTCTTCAGGACTTTCGTTCTCAAGCACGTCACAAATGCACACCAAGGACCCACCGACTCGCTATAAGAAATCTACCATCTCGAAGAGAATCACTCCGCTCAGCGATGGGATAGAACATACCTTCCTACAATGGAGCGCCTCGATTCGGGACCGACTCGTAGTCAATGAGGACCACTACCTTACCGACGTCTCGAGAAGAGCGTTGATATGGGGAACTACGACCGGCCTGCTAAGACATACCTAGAGCCCCAATACCTGTCTGCTATGCATGGGTTCCGCAGTGCTGAGGAGATGATGGACCTACTAGGTTCATACTACCTCACAGCAATAAGACGGAACAGGCCAGGAACCTCTTCGACAACCTGCAAATGGGAGAGAATGGACATACTAGCGAAACCTTCCCAGAGTTCAAGGCTCGTTTCCAAAGTGCAGCTATCACAGGACAAGTCTCCGAGTCGGAATGGTTCCGGTACATGTGGAACAAGTTGACTCCCCAATTTCGCAGCCACGTCACGATCATCAAAAACCAATGGAATGGAGACTACCAGACCATGGTATGAGAACTTACCATCTTCGATCAGGAACGGCGCCGGAACAACGAATTGAATCTGCTACCCGCCCCCGCAAGGACGTCCACACGTACCATGGATACGGCAAAGACGTCAGCATCGAAGCCGACTCGAGCCACACCTGCTCTGTTCACCCGAACCACGTTCCTCCCAAGCCAACGATGCCGTATGAAGACCGCAGTCCCAGCGTCCTCAGGAAACTGTTTCAAGTGTGGCAAGCCCAGCCATTTCCAGGACAAATGCCCCCTTAACGATACTATCAAGGAAATCGACCGTAACGACCCCGAGGCAGAAGAACAATGGGAGGAAGCCGTGGAACTTCAATCGGATGTGTCCCTCGAGGAAAACGACGAGGCCTAGGAGAAGGCTCCTTCCTAGGTCTACGCAAATGTGACCTGTGAGGACTAGACTTATGAGAACTCCTGGGAGGTACCCAGTTCTTAGTCGACACGACCCTGAGTATGAATGGACTCGGGGTGCAAACAAAGTCCCTAGCAGACACAGGAGCAAATGGCTACCCCGTCATTAACAAGCCTTTCACAATACAACTGTCGAAAGTGCTTCAGAGCCCCATACGGAAACTACCCTACTCTGTACCCATAGGTGGATTTCAGCACAAAATCCAAGGCCACGTATCAGAGTATATTCGGTTACACTTAACAGTCGAAGGACGCTGAATATATAACTGCCCCTTTGTACTCCTGGACCTCGGAGCACAAGATGTGATAATTGGGAAGAAGCTTTTCAGCCGCTTCCGAATACTACTCGACTGCAAAGAGCCAGTTAGTATGGCCAAAGGAGTACCCGCCGACTCCTAGCTGGAGCAAGGAGATCACCTTGCCCTACCACTCACGCGAAACGTCCATTAAACATCCTGCATACCAGTCGGATGCGAATCGCCGGGATTTCGCAATCCACCGCGAAGACAGACGCCGCGCAGGCGGACGTTCGATGGAAATGAAAGTGATAACTTCCGACTACGAAGAGATCACCGATACGCCATCGAACCCACCACGAAACCAGGAGGTTTCTCCCCCACTGCAGAAAACCTTAGTACATAGGTTTACGCCCATGCATATATGTGAAATCAGTGCAAATGCTTTCCACCACAAGATGATGCGAAACGACTCTGAGTTTTTTCAGACTAGCATCTACGAAATCGATCAGATCATTCATGAAAAGGAGTTGGTAGAGGACGAAGAAACGCTCTGCCTCATCCAGCAGAAGCTTCCGCATATGCACCAGAGGTACACCGATGTCTTTTCGAAGTTGGAATCGGATCGAATTCCCCCCCACCGCATATACGACCACAAGATACAGCTCGAAGCCCCTTTACCAAATGCTTTCTCCCCGTTATATCGACAGGGCACCGAAGAGCTTAAGGCTACCAAGCAATATCTGCTGGAAAACCTGGAAAAGGGATTCATCGTCAACAGCAACAGCCCCTTCGCGTCCCCTATCCTATTCGTAAAGAAAGCGGATGGCAAATTAAGATTTTGCATCGATTACCGGAAGTTAAATGGTCTCACCCGGAATGATCCCTACCCCATCCCGCATATCGACGAACTACTAGGACGGGTGTCAAAAGCAAAAATCTTCACGAAGCTAGATATCAGACAAGCCTTCCA